ACCCAATTAAGGACACTGCCCATATTGTCATCATCAGTTGCCGCTAACTAATCTGCGGTCGAGTCATATTGTTCACCTGTCTGTCAAAGGTGGAGAGCATGACGATGTCGAGGAATAAGCTAGTGTTGTCACCGTTCAGTGGCACGTCTGAAGATTCAGTAGTCAATCAGGCTGAATAGTTGTTGTTTGATTGTAACTGATATAATTCTATAAATTGCAATCTTTGTCAATAATAATGAATTCCTGCAAGAAACCTGTAGGCATGAACTATTACAGGAACAATTAAGAGACGTAGATAGAAATTCTACAAACATGTCCTACACAGAACTGGAACGGGCAAGTAACAAGTCCAAGTTGACAATGACTAGAAGCAAATTGACAGACTGCAGCCAGTACTAATTAAATATGCCACAGCCAGAGAAAATATGAATCAAGAAAAAAAAGGAGTTAATAAGCAAAAGATGCCCAATGCAAATTTATATTTACATGCTACAATAACTCATGCACTAACGCAGTTCTAAAATCAATATATAAATGCCTACCAAACACTTCAGGTTTTTTGACTTACAGAGCTAGATATTCTTAATTGCGTTGCATGTACACTGCTAAACAAGTGGAGCCACCATCATGACTATGTCCCTTCACCTCCTTTTCACTGGCTTCGTCCAGCCCAGTGCCTCAGCCGGGATCGCTAAAAAACAGCATTTGGGTATCTGGGTATAGCCATCAAATTAATTTGGGTATCTGGGTATAGCCATCAAACTCATTGATATGTACAAGAGTATGTATTAAAAAAATTATTTCACGTGTTATGTATCAAAAAAATCACTTTAGCAATTGTGTAGCCTCAGTACAAAATTAGTTGAGTGGATCATAATGTTACTGGGCATTTGGGTATTTGTGTCACTGTCCTGAATGTTGACGAAGTCTTTAGAGGTTACAGAATGAGGTTACTAAGCTGATTATCATTATCATTTTGCAAGGAATAAAGGTGATGAAGTCTTAATTTTCCATTGATATGTGCATCAGAAAATGCATGTAACTCTATGCTGCATTGCTGCAAGTCTGTCTTGGTTGTACTAGAGGAAATTCTTCCTTTGATATTAATTGATAAGAGTCCGAGGTTCTTTGAGTGCCAAAGTGGAGCTTCTCCCTTCTGAATCCATTGGCAACATTCTTTTGCACATAAGCATACAAGGAAAGAGGATTGAGAGGATACTCACTCACCTTGACGGTCGGGGCGCCTTAGTCTGCACAGAGGAGCCAAGAGTGAGCGGAGGTGCGGGGTCGGAGCCGATGGGGACGGAAGCTGAGATGAGTGCAGGCCGGAGGCAGCGGTACGGCCGTGCGTGGCTACGGTCGACGCCCAGGAGCAATCGCCGGTCGCCGCTGGCGGAGAACTGGTGAGGGTGGCATCGCTGACTCGATTCGGCGCCCTCCTAGCACCAGGGGGCGGAGGGTGGAGACGCCGCAGGCTGTCGACTCCCGATCCCGTCGAAACTCGATAGCGGCAGTTGGGTTTGCCGCATGCCTGATTCTGGCTGGGAGCCTGGGAAGGCCGGGGACGGAGAAGACCATTGCCGGTGGCTCGGCGCTTGGAGAGTGCTGCGGTAGTCGGGTGATGCCGGCCGAGAGCGCGCTCCAAGAGCCTTTTGGTGCTTTTTTTTTAATTATTGGATAAATGTTGCAGAAAAAAATGGAATTTGAATTCAATTTCAAATTATTGTTTATAATGCACGACAATTTTAATAAACTATAAATGGCTTTTATTGAAACCTTTATTAGAATCAAGTAATGCAACTTTCAGAACTAAATTACTCTTCTCTTTAGTGACATGCTAAGTCGAATCTTGTCACCCCATGTTGACCGGCAACCACGTGGGCTAGTGGCAGCAGGACAACAAGCAGCTAGGGGTGATCTTCATGGGGTGCAGGGCGGGATCTAGTACGAGTACTGACATGCCTTCATGGCTCTCGTCTGTCGCGTGGTGGCCATCGACATCCGTGACCGAGTCACGGCCTTGCGCGCCACGTGCCTGGCGAAGACACCGGCGTCCGTGGCCTTCCTCGTCATGCCGCGCCAGCACGTCGCGGACGGCGGCGCCGACGCTGGCGGTGGAGGTGACGTCGAGCTGGAGCGCATCTGTGGACGGCGTGCCAGCGAGGTTAGCGACCAGGCCAAGGTGATGCCCTCGCTGAAGTAGCTATTGCTGCTGTCGACGTAGTAGACGCCGTCCTCGTCCTCCCGGCGCCAGGCAAAGCAGGGTAGTAGCCGGTTGTCTCCATGGCGCTGCGCTGGGCATGCTTGGGCAAAGCATAGCTGCCATGGAATGAATCAGTGTCAGAAAAGGCATTTAGGGATAGGAACGATGGAATGACCTAAGCAACAATTCGAATAAAAGAGTTGTTCACAATGGTAATATCAGAGTACGGAAGAAGGCGAGAGAGCAGAGTACCATCAGTGGATCTCATGTGAGAGGTAGTGCATGTGTCCATCATCCATAGACTAGGCTACTGAAACTAGAGCTAGTTTAGTGCTTCAACTAGAGCAAATGGATCCCATGTGTTTAGAGGTGCTAAAACCTTTGAGGGAGACATTGTCATGTAAACCTAGGGAAGATGGCCCAACAATCCAAGCAAGGGAGCTCGCTACGTAGAGGCTTCAGACTGTCCTAGCCATGGGTTGCCTTGTAGATTCGACCACGGGCTACTGTAATAGACCCATGGGCCAGGGGCTACCAGCACTAGCATGCGAGGTGTGGGGGAGGTGTCGTGCTGCTATTGTTCATGGTTACTAGTTACGGCACCCTGTTGTTGTGCCAAGGTGTTGCCATGGGACGTGTTGCTAGTGCTAGATGCTCCTAACGACCCTCCCGATGATCGATGCTGAAGAAGTGCGATAGATCATACAATAAGTAGTAGTGGAGGAACACCCGACAAGAAATAATGCTATTTCATAGGAGACTTTCCTTTCATTGGCCAATCGGAGTTCCTTGAGGGCTAGGATATACTACGAGTAGTACTGAAGGTCGGCAGTGGTATGGTGTTGGAAATATATATGTTGATCGTGTTGAAGAAGCACTTATTGATGCCATGCAGAAGAACTCATTGTGGGTTGGAGATGGTGTGGTCAACGTCCAATAGAGAATGGGTGAGGATCTTCACGTGTTGACAGTACTCAGACATAGGGAGATCGCCTTGAGTCATGAAGTGGAATTCGTGACTCAAGAAAATCGTCGGTGGTTCCTTGTTTGCTTGGGAAAGGTTCTCAATGGTTGTCCATAGGGCACTTGGTTTTGATTCGGCTCCATAGCAGGATCAAGGACGTCGGGGGTGACAAAGCCATAGAGCTAACTTTGCACATTGTGACTGTTCATCTCCCAAATAGGGTTGGTTGGCAATGGTGTTGTAGTGCCATTTGATGTGCTTGAGTAGTCAAAAATTACCACACATAGAACATAAGAAAGTGGACCATTTGGCAACGTTGGGATTCTTAGATTCTAGGGTGATGGACACAAGTGATTTGGTGAACATGATGACTATCTCGCTGGCCATGGAAATGCTATTGAGCTAAGATGTAGCACTGGATATAGAGAATGAGGAAGACATCCTGCCAAGACTAAGGAATCATGCATGCGCAGAGGGGGTCAGAGGGGTGGCATATCATAGGGATGGATTGGGACAACATAGATATAGTAGCGTGCACGGGAGCATGGATGCACATAGATGAGCAAAGGATGGGTGAACTTCTACTCTTGGATCCTAAAACAGATGAAAGTGGAGGTGGATCGCATAGAGGAATGTGGTTTGCGCGAGTAGATATCATGACCATGGAAACTATGGTGTGGAAGGAGCGCACATGAGCAAAGGAAAGACAATGACACTAGAGTTAGGGCAGTGTGAGGAGTCAGAGAGAGACCTAGGCTCGTGGTACCATGTAGAAAATAGGAAAACACCTTGCACCCCTAAGATTGGGTGATCTTTCATTATATATAGCCAATTACGACTTGTGTTACAAGAAGAATACAATACAAGTCACAGTCAAACTCTATCTCTAACACGCACATAAGAGAAAAATTCACCGATGATCCTTCAACTCGTTATGCATTCCCATTAGGTCCCATTCACATATAAGAGCACAATGTTAGGAATTAGTTAAAAATTAATTTATTTTAAGTTTCATTTGAGGCCATAAATAAAACACATAAGTACCATAATTTTCTGCCTTCCTTAAGCCTATGGCAGGACTCAGCCAACATCAGACCAAACGAAACACATGCATATATCTTATTTACTCTTGGGGATGAATGGCCTCTAATCATAATCTTGAATTGTGTCTAAATGTTCAGCGGAGACAATATTGGGGGCACATTTGTCAGACAAAAGTTTGGTACATATACAAGCCTCTATTAAACAACCTTTGCACTGTATAAAGGCGGGCACATTGGTAAGTAAAATGGATTATCATAAACAACAAAGTCAAAAGAGTAAAGCTATGATAAGCATGTACGATGGTATGGAGTATTTCCAAACATTGTAGTGTATGATGGAAGCTAGGCACACTCACTAAATATGGAGATTCCACCTTCAGAGACAAGTACCATGACCGTTGAAACACACCATGCATCCAAAGTGGAAAAAGTTCATGCTCTGGATTGCATTTCTAATAATTGTTAGAATGAAACAAAATATCAGTTAGAACTAGAATGGACACAAGAATTTAAAGTAACACAATTAGGTACCTTAAATCCAAATGTCATTAGTTGTAGGTGCTAGAATCCCTCTTCCAATATGGCCTAGGATTTGTAGATTTGATCCACCTTTCATGCATGGCAATGAATGGAACATAACCCTTATCATCAATCAACAATCAATAGTCTAGAAATCCCATTGGATGGTGAGGTTATTACCAGGAACAACATCAGGTTCTCCATATTAGGTAGAGAGATGTCAAGGTGAGCATACTCCCTATTTGAAATGAGGGCCAAAATGTGCATAGCCCTAACCGAAGAAAATATGTTCTAGTTCTCTAGTTCTTGACTCTAGTTCTTGAACAATGGGAAGGTGGCCTTCATCCTCCTTGAGATGGCATGGTTGATTAGGTGAAGTAGTTGGACAGATTATTGGAGATGGAACATTATCTTCGACAATGGTGGATTGGAAATGTAACAATGCGCTCCTTGAGATTCCCCATGTCAAGATAATTGCAATTGCAAATCCAACCCCAAATCCCAATCCAGCAAAAAGGAATAGTACAATGTCTATTGATACCTTCTTTGACTGATGTAGAACCATATCTGGTGTCATGTTGTTACATGCTTTGGACACTTGAAACCCACACAGATCAATGTTTCCTAAAAATGAGAGATCAGAGAATGTCAAGAAGTGGGAAGACTCGGGTATTCTTCCCTGCAATTTGTTGTAGGATAGATTCAACACTGAAAGAAAGTCCAATGATGCCAACTCCCATGGGATCTCTCCAGAAAGTTCATTTGAAGACAAGTCTAGTGACTCAAGTTGATGTAGCATGCCAAGATGAGATGGTATCGGTCCAATGAGGGCATTATGTGACATATTTAGCCCACCAAGTAGAACAAGGTCCCCAATTAACTTAGGAATAGTGCCATAGAATTCATTATTAGAAACTTCAATGATGACAATGGTCCTCAATATTTTAGAAAAACTAATATCATATCCTTTGTATGTGATGGCAGTGGTGAACTGGTATGTTTGGCCAAGTAGATCATATTGATTTTCCATGAGCAACATCTCGTTGACATCTTTAGTCATCATGGATCCCATTGACGTAAACCACTTGTTTCTCAATAATCCAGAGAAATTGTTTGAAGCCAAGTCAATAATTCAAAGTTTTCCAAACTCACAACTATTTTGATATTCTGAAATAGATGGCCCCACATCTCCAATGAACCTATTGGACTTTAGAACAAGGACTTAAAGTTTAGGAAGCATACTCATCCAACATGGAAATGTATCATTAATAAGACTCTTCCCAATATCAAAAACCTCCAAGTCTTTGCAAGCAACTAGAGATCTAGGTAATTGTCCTTCAATCTGATTATCACTAAAGTCTAATGCCTCAAATGCACAATCTTGCTTTAGGCTATTTAGTAATCTTCCATGAAGTTGATTTCCTTTCAAATTTAATACATTGAGGCGACTCATATCCTCCATTAAACAAGAAGGGATGGAGCCAATCAAATCCTTATTGGAGAGATCAAGGAGCATAAGGCTTGTTGCTTCGCAGATTGATTGTGGAATTTCTCCAGACAACTTGTTTCCATGAGCCATGAGTAGGGAAATACTACTTAAGTGAGAACCAAAATTGAATGGCATGGATGAGAATTGGTTGTTTGAGCAATCAAATAGTTGGTTCTGCGGTCCTGGTATAGGTATAGGCCCTTGAAATCGGTTATAACTGATATCGATAACAAACATATTAGCAAAAATGATAGGGCCATATCCAATACCACTACTAAATTGGTTATGTGATATGTTCATCAAGATGAGAGAGTTGATCCAATTATCCCATGCCCACTGAGGTAGAGGGCCATGGATGTGATTGTTTGAAAGGTCAAGAATTTCAATAGAATACATGTGCTTCAAGGTATTAGGGAGCTTGGATATGTTACAAGATGCTAGACATAGAGTATCAAAGTTTTGGATGGATGCCCATGAAGAATTGTATTCTCCATCTACTACGGAAAGCTTGTTGTTTGAAAGATTCAGTATGACTAGGTTGGGCATTTCGAAGAATGAGTTGAGTTGGATGGTACCACTGAAACTATTGGAATGTAAATTTACGATGCCTAATTGAGTAAGATTAAATAAATGTGGAGGAATTTGACCAAAAAAATTACATGCATACAATTTCAATTTAATTAGGTTCTTGAGGTTACCCATAACCCACAGTTCGAGAACTGTAGAGTTTCCAGAGAAGTCAAATTTGCAACCCAAGATGGTATTTCTCCTACTATACCAGCCCCAGAAACCTGTAATGATGTTAATTATCTGAGTTCACCAATTGAAGTGGGAAGCTGCTCCTGGTGAAAGTCAGCTGCTGCAATACCTAATTTCTTCAAGGATTTGAGATTACTTATTGAACCTGGAATGGGACCAGAGAAGTTGGTGTTGCTAAAAACCAGTTCCTTCATAATACTATGTGATGAGAAATTGGGAAGTAGACCAGATACCTTGGAAATATAACTAACATCAATAGCCATTAAGTTTATGTTCTGGAAGATCCTCATCGGGAACCGTCCTTCGAGGCGATTATAGGCAAGCTTAAGAACATTGAGGGAAGGTAAGTCAGCAAAGGACTCTGAGATTTGGCCATAGACTTTGTTATAGTTTAGGTTGATCATGGTCAATGAGCGAATGCTGGACAACGATTCACAAATTGGAGCATCGATGTGTGTATTTGGTAGGCTAAGAACCTGAGCTATGGAGTGGAATTAGCAAAGGCACTGCACCATGTTGCCCCGTTGCCGGATAAGTTGACATTGCCTAGATAAAGCTCCTTGAGGTTGCTAAGGTTAGCGACGAATGATCCAATGTCTGGCTCTACGATGGGCCACCTTCCTTCGCCGAGTGGCAGGAAATAGTCATTGTCACCTTCAACAAGATAAATCTAGTTGGTGAAGTCCAGGGATACCAGCTTGTTGAGCCGCCATATCCCGTGCGGTATGTTGCCTATGAAGTCGGTGTAGGAGAGGTTGAGGTAGGTGAGCTCGGTGAGCAGCTCAAACCCAACAGCCAGGAGCTCCGACTCGTTGAAGCTGTTGAAAGAAAGGTCCAGGTACCTCAGGGAGGTGAGCTCAAAAAGCGCCGGGTGGAGGCCGGCGCTCTGCAGCAGGCATTCCGCGAGGTCGAGGGTGGTGACGCAGCCGTCAGCGGTAGTGCAGGCGACGCCCTCCCAGCGGCAGCAGTTCGTGCTGGGCTGCCATGACGTGAGGGTGCATGGGGAGTCGGTGGTGGTGGTGGTGGAGAAGGAACGCCGCAGCCAGAGCAGTGCCACGGACTGGTCCGGCCGGCATGGAACGGCTGCTGCTGGTGGTATGGTAGTTTGGTTGTTGTAGGTGGTGAGGGAGTGCGAGAGCTGATGTTGGATCCCAAGGAACAAATGAACGAGTAAGTGCAGGTACAGCAGGAGCTGCTGGCGGTGGCTGGTAATGGAGACCATCATCATGCTGACTGCTGAGAACTTGGGGCTCATTCTGCGAACACAAGGTTGACAAGTACCCTTGTGTGTTCGTTTTGTGATGAGTGATTGTCAATGTGATCCACGAAGTGGGTTGAGTGGTGACTAACCCTACCATGGTGAAAACTATGTGTGCGACATGTCTTTTGGCTTGTGTTGTGCAGGTGTGGAGCTCGGATGCGGTGGTCGACGGCGAGGTGAAGGTCAAGGAGGACGTGCCGTGCCGATAGACCAGGAGCGGTGAAGGACGGACGTGAGGCTTGGACCGAGGGACCCAGAGGCCAGGTGACTAGCCACGGTGGCTGACACTTGGGACATCGACAAGTGCAAGAAGACATGGAGTGACGGTGTTGACCGGATCAAGATGGCGGACGCGTGAGTCGAGCGAGGCTTAGGAGGACTTGGCGGGCCGGCCGGTCGAGGACGGCGGTGACACGCGTCGGATGGTGGGGTACGCGTATGGAGTATGCTACCCGTGGACGGTTTGATGGTTTGGGTCTCAAAACCATCAGATGGACGGTTTATGGGTTTGGGCCTCAAAACCCGGGCGGAGGTTCCGAGGAGGGACTGACGGCACGTGGCGGCATCGGGGAGTTCACGTCGAGGCAAAGCTACCGGTGAGTAGGCGCGGTGGCCGTCGGATCAAGATTACACTGGGTTGGACAAGAACACCCTTGGGCTTAGCGGTTCAACTCATTTGTATCCAGGGGCAAAACTGGGAATGTGTAATAGCCCTGTTAAATAGGATGAGGGAGCCCCCATCTCCCTTACCTCTCCCATTTTTCATTTTTCCCCTTCTAGCTAGGGTTCCTTCTCTTTGCTATTCTTGAGTGAGAGGTCCACAGATGAACCATGAATTGATCTGTGTAATCTGAGTTTTTGGTTGGGAAGTGAGGCCCTAACCTCATCGTGACCTCCGGGCTTTGGAAGTTTGAATCATTTTTGGAGTGCTCGTGTTCCCATGTATGTTCTTCTGGTTTTCCTTTTTTTTTTTGCTCATATGTTTGATCTATTGGTTCTGATGCTTTGGAGCATTTTTGTTCGGCTTGACTGATGCTCTGACGAGTGATGAACAATCCTACCAATTGAAATTCATCAATTCCACTCGTGCATCAAATTTCAAGCAGATTTCGTTTTTGGGGGAAAAGTTGTGTTCTTGCATGAGATGGGGATTTCCCAGAGTTTGAGTTGGAATTGGGCAATAATTTTTCCGGGATAGCTTCTCAACTCAGTTGTGATCCTCTCTGCAAGATTTGAGAGCGACTCGTTCAGTTTCATTCGAGTTCGGGTCGTTTTCGTGGCCGTCTCTTTCAGTCTGTGTACTACGTTCTTTCTCTGTTCGTTTGCTCAGGTTCCTGTTCGTTCTTCACTGTTCCGGTGATTTGATTTTGCTCGGTCAGGTCCAGCTCTCAGCTGTGACGGTGCATCAGGTCTCCAGATCGAGACTACCGGATCCCTCACCGGTCACCACCAGCAGGAGGTCAGTTCAGCCTGGAGCTCTTGTCTAGGAAAACAAGCTTCAGTACGTAAATTCATTTTCTTGCATCCGTGAATTATAGCCAACATTTATGAGCTAATCTCTGGAATATCTATTTTCATTTGGAAAGTATTCATGGATGTGAGATTGCTGTTCAGTGCCTGATCTCTCTCTACAGTGATTCATTCTCTGAATTTTTGATCACCAAAGCAGTTCGCAATTAGTGTTGAATGGCAAGTGCAGCAGCCTGTGCTTCGCCTTATGCTTAATTTTTTTTATTGGTCATTTGCCTTGTTCTTGCTTCCGTGAAATGAACTAAGCAATCATGAGCTCCTCATTAGAGCATTAAATTGTGGCAATTGTTTGGTGTACATCTCACCACTTGCAAAGCCACTTCTAGTTGCTGTACTATCTCCAGTGCCTAGAATTTTAGGTCCATTTTTCAGTTAGCTTTTCGTTCGCAATTTATTCGTTTGAACTCCAGATTGTCTACCGTTTATTGCGTTGACTTTGTGGTGTCCCGCTGTGTTCCTAGGGAACATCCACCCAATCTTTTGGGTCGTGGACATCATGGTGATTTATTTGCGCGTTTGGTGGTGAAGTTGGGACAGCGGCCAAATATTTCACAAGAAATTTGAGGCTCCCATTCACCCCCCCTCTGGTCGCCGTTTCTGGTCCTTCAATTTGTATCGGAGCCGGTTAAGGATCATTCCACCTTAATCGGTCCGTGATCCACGAAGGCGACATGGAGCGTGGTTCTGGCAAACCACCGCACTTCGATGGGTCCAACTATCCTTATTGGAAGATCCGCATGCCTGCGCATCTCCAGGGGATTGATTGGCTCGTCTAGGAAATTTGCGAGGATGCTACTTACGTTGTGCTCCATGTCACAGCCCGTACCACCCAGGATCACAAGGATTGGCACAACGCAAATAGCAAAGCTCGTAGTGTGCTTTTCTCGAGTCTTTCGCTTTCTGAGTTCGAGCGTGTCTCCGATTGTACTACAACTCGAGAGATCTGGGTAAGGCTTCAGAGCTATCACGAGGGGACCGCATAGGTCAAGACCAGACTCTACGAGACGTACAAGCGCGAGTACGAGAACTTCTCTCAGCTTGATGGCGAGTCCATCGATGCCATGTTTTCCCGCTTTCAGACTATCGTCAACAAAATGAAAGCGAACAAGGCCAACCTACCTTATAGTGATCATGAGAGGGCGCTCAAGCTTCTCTATGTCCTTGATCGAAAGGTATGGGATGTGAAGGTGTCGGCGATCATCAAGTCGGCCAACTATGACACCCTCACCATCGACGAGCTTTTCAGCAAGCTCAAGTCCACAGAGATCGACTACCAAACCCAAGCCAAGCTCAAGAATCCTTCTGCACCAACCATGGCTTTGGTCTCAGGTAGTGGTTCAAGTTCATTGACTAACCCTTCACAAGCTTCTTTCTCTTTGTCGTGCTTGATGTCAGTAACAGAGGAGCAGCTGGAGTCTCTTGGGGATGATGAGTTGGCACTCGACATCAGTCGGTTCTCTCGGTTTCACAACAACCGTTTGAACCGCCGACGCAGTGGTGACCCGAAGGAGGAATGCTATGGATGTGGAGATCCGGACCACTTCATAGCGCGCTGCCCCAAGAAGAAGCCCTTCACCAACAAGTACGACTCCGGCAAGCGCAAGGATAAGCGCAACTACACCTCTGGCAAGCACAAGGCCAAGGGCGGCTTTGACAAGGAGGCGATCAAGAAGGCGTACCGCAGGAAGGCCAAAGCTCAAGAACACGCCTTCCTCGCCTCCCTCAGCGACCTCGACGACGACTCCGACGATGATCACTCTTCTTCTCCCTCGACCGACGATGAGTCCGAGAAGAAGCGCGAGGACAAGCTCAACGGTCTTTGCTTTGTCGCCGGTGCAAACCGTGGTGGGTTTTGCACTATGGTGGTTGACGGTGGAGCAAAGCTCAAAAAGGACGTCGACGTCGACGAAAACAAGAGCGGAGGCCTAGAAAACACGTGGCTTGTTGATTCCGGCTGTTCGCGCCACATGACCGGAAGTTCCCAATGGTTCTCAAGCCTCGACCCCATGCAATACAAGGAGTACATCACATTTGGGGACAATCGCAAAGGTAAGGTTCTGTCTCATGGGACCATTTGGGTCAACGAGTCTTTTATCTTGAAGGACGTTGCTTTGGTTTCTAGCCAGCATTTCAATTTGCTCTCTGTTTCACAACTCCTTCAAGATGGGTTTGAGGTGCGCTTTAAGACTGGACTTTCTCGTGTGCTCGATTCTCAGGGACATCTAGTTTGTCAGATCGTTCCTTTTGGCCGAGTTTTCAGAGCTAATTTTTCTTAGTCTTTTGGTTCTTCTCGCTGTTTGGTTGCCGGATCTTCTTCTAATTTGTGGAAGTGGCATAGGAGACTTGGTCACTTGAGCTTTGATCTCCTAGTGAGGTTGAGTTCTCTTGACATGATCCGAGGATTGCCCAAACTTAAGTTTGAGAAGGATCTGGTATGCCATCCCTGTCGCCACGGGAAGATGGTGGCTGCTTCCCATCCTCCAGTGACTCAGGTCATGACCACGAAACCCGGTGAGCTACTCCATATGGACACTGTTGGTCCGGCTCGGGTTCGGTCAGAGGGAGGGAAGTGGTACGTTCTTGTGATCGTGGATGATTTTTCTCTCTATTCTTGGGTGTTTTTCATGGAGGGCAAGGACGAAGCGTTTTCTCATGCTCGTGACTTGATCTTGAGGTTGCAAACTGAGTTACCAAAGAATGCCATACGAGCTATCCGCAGTGACAATGGCACTGAGTTCAAAAACTCATAGTTTGACACCTTTTGTGCTTCTTTGGGTCTTGAACATCAGTTTTCTTCACCCTATGTCCCTCAGCAGAATGGTGTTGTTGAGCGCAAAAATCAAACTTTGGTTGAAATGGCCAGGACGATGCTCGATGAGCATAGGACTCCTAGGCGTTACTGGGCCGAAGCCATCAACACCGCCTGCCATGTTTCAAACCGCATTTTCCTTCGTGCTTTCTTGAAGAAGACATCCTACGAGTTGCGGTTTGGGCGTCCACCCAAGGTGCGTCATTTTCGAGTTTTTGGTTGCAGGTGCTTCATTCTTAAGCAAGGTAATCTTGACAAGTTTGAATCTAGATCTTCGGACGGTATATTTCTCGGTTACGCTTCTCATTCACATGCGTACTGTGTGCTTAATCTTGAGACTAACCGTGTCATGGAGACTTGTGAAGTCACCTTCGACGAAACCATGCCCTCTTCTGTTTCTGTCTTTGAACGTGCAGGTGATGAAGAAATGGGTGACAGCATTTTCGTTGAGGATGACGACGACGCCGATTGGGATGATCCCAAGCCATCTCAACCGGCTGCCCCGATCGAGCCAGCTTCGACCACCTCGGCTCATGGCCTCGAGCTCTCCACCTCTACTTCATGGGGTCTGTGCGAGCCGCTTCCTCAATCGACTGAGGAGGCCCCAGCTGTGGATGAGGGGGAGGCA